GAGAGAGAAAATACTGGGGTGCAGCAAGGTTTAAGCAGTCAGCGAGTGGTAGGGGAATGTGGGAAAGAAAATGGAGGACACATAAGAAGCCATATAGAAACCCACTATCTTGCAACCCAATTAAAAATTATAATTGGGATAGAATTACATGATATGAAATCCCAAAGTGCCTTCCTGTATGTTTACGTATAGGTTCCCTAAGTAAAACCCCTATATTTTATGCTCAGTGAGAGTAGTATTTTGGGAATTCTTCCTTGCACTTGCAATCATACTGTGCCAAAGTCCTAGTGGAAGACAGATACTCTAGATAATGCCCTTGTCTTTAGCTATCAGACTAACATTGTTCCCCCCTCATTACAAAATTAGTTTAACGGATATGAAGAGGTTTAGAGCTTGAAAGTGACCTCCAAAAAAAACCATAAAGTTTCTACTGTATGATTATTAAAGGGACCCAAGGACAAGAGTGGCTGGGGGTCTTATATCCTGCAGAAAACTCAGAGACACTTGTCTTTCAAAAACTAGAGTATCTGTAAGACATGGACCTTTTTTTTTTTTTCTCTTTGATATAGGGTTTATATAGCCCATGCTGGCCTTAAACTTGTTATGAAGCCCAGGCTGGCTTTGAATTCCTAGTCCTCTTGCCTCTACTTCCTGGGAGCTGGTTTTTCAGGCATGTACCATCATGCAGCACTTCCAGAACTAGACTTGAACAACAGAAAAATAACTGTCTCCCTAACAGAGTGGATAAAACCTGGGGCCAGGTCTCCTTTTTCCCAAAAAAAGGACAGAAGGGCTGTCTCATCGTTAAATTTACATTGATTCTAACCTTTTTTCATGGCTTTCTATCAAGTCTAAGATGGCCTCAGGGACAATGAGAAGAAATTAGGACATCTTCCCCCTGGTCTAGCCATACTCTAAATAAATCCATTTTCATTTACCGATAACTGTTTCCTGCTTTCTTTGCAAAACAAGGACTCTAAAGCACTCAGTTTCTGGACCAAAGTGCTCTTCTGCCTGCAGGTAATAAACATTTTCTCTATTTTATCTCTTGGCTGGTGTCCTGTGGCTTTGCACTTAGCTCACCCAGATGGGAACCCACTGAGTCTGGTTATAAGCTGTTAGCTATCTATATCTGTGACCAAAACACCTGAGGGAACAACTTATAGGGTGTAATTATTTATTTTGGCTTGGTTTGAGGGTCTTAGGCTGTACTGGCTGGACCTAGTACTTTAGGCTCAAGACGAGACAGACTACCTTCTTCAGATATCTAGGAATATTATTTCTATTGGGAAGAATGTTGGACCAGAAGCAGAGAGAGCAGGCCTGAGATCTGGTGTGCTCCCCAGGGGCTCTGGTTCCTGTAAGGGGCGGGGCCTGCTGCTGAGAATTGACTGTGGAGTTAGCTGGGAAAGGAGGGGCTTGTGGTGCCATATTGGGTCGGGAGCCACAAGCCACCAGGAATGTGCTGCGGTGTGGGGAATGAGCAACAGCTGGTTGTACTCAAGGACAGAATGGCCTGGCACTTATGGACCTGGGGCAAGACTGCTGGCCCCTGAAGCTTGGGTGAAAGATAGTGGTGACTATGGGCGTGCCGCGGTGCCACGGGAACAATCTGATAGGGCAGGCTCTGAGCCAAGGCATGGAGCTGTGTGGCGCAGAGCTAGGCACTGGGTGCTCTTTTCTTTGTAAGTCACTCCCCTCACCCATGATAATAATAAATGCACATAAAGATGTGTTACATGGTTTGTCTGATAGCGCAAGAGACCCAGAGAGAATTCTGGCAACACCTGGGCTTTCTTTTTTCTTCTTTTGATTCCATCTGATCCCCTAGCCTATGAAATGCTGCTGCCTAAATTTCTCCCTTAATTCTCTCTAGAGATATCTTCATAGACACACCCAGAGTGTTTCATGCTCTCCTGGTTCCTTTTCATTAGAAGAAGTTAACAATCAACATTAACCATCATACCAGCAAATCATAATGCCAGTGTCCTGGAAGCTGGCAGAAGGCATACAGTACTTGCATCTGTGACAAGTTATTTTACTACTCACAGCACAGCAAGCAGCATGACCTTGTTCATATTCCCACTTGAAGTCCAATGGAAAGTAGAGACCAATTCTGGAGCATCCTGAACATAAGTATGTATAACACATGAAAGGTATTAGGGAATCCCAATCTTTTATTAGGATCAAACCTGCCTAACTTGTGTCTCACAGGGAGCCATTACTGCACTGGACAGCACACAAACATGCCTGCCCATGAATGCTTTCACTTTCAATCTCCATTTTCTGGTGGTAAATGATTGCCTAACTTATTAACAGAAGACAGTTTGTAATAGGAATGTCATCTTAAACACATTGGAAGTTTAAATTTGGCTTTTTTCCCTTATATTCCAAGGTCCAGTATCACATTTAGGCCAGTCAGTGCACTTTCTGAGATCAATCCTGAAAAGGAAGGCTTCTTCTGTTCTGTGAGTGTGGAGGTGTAGAGATGTTTCCTTACAAGCTTTTCAAATATCATTAATAGTTGCCAATTTTAGTCTGAGTTAATAGGACAGAGTACAGGAAAACTTTTAAGTGGCTTTCCAAACAATTCTGATAGACAGGATGGCCTAATAAAAATTGACCTATATCATTCTCAACTCTATAGCTATTTACTTTATATCATAATGAACACTGAAAACACCAAGGTGGGCTATTTAAAAAAAAAGGAGCACAGTACTAAAGTTTGACATCAATATAATATATGCTATTAATGACTACTGATTAAAACAATCATGATTTTGAAGTAAGATGCTGTGCTGTTTTTGTACTTATCAGTTACGGATAGTTGATACGGATGCTAGGAAAACAATACTAAGCTAGACAGCACATTTATTGACATTTTTTAATTGCAATCTCTGCATCTGCACAAGGGATTAATAAAATTACAGTACAAATCAAGTTCCCCAAATTATTTTCTAAAGAAATGATCAATATTGACTATTAGTTGCCAAAAGATCAGAGATTTCTGTGGATTAATAACCTTTGCATGCTAAACAATCCATCAAAGAGAAATCCAAAGAAAACCAACTATATGCTCATCAGATGACTGTACATACTTTTCAAAAGGCACAAGACAAAACTCATCTATATTGATAGTATTCTTCCTGCTTTAAGCTATTAGGGAACAATAGGTAAAACCTGACAATCAGTGGTAAGAGATATATCACTGTAACTTTCTGAAATTTAGTTAGGACTAATTTGCTGAGATAGCATTACCGTATTCTCTGGGTCTAGGAAGCTTGTATACTAAGTACTCAAACACAGATAATTTATTTGGATGGCATTGTGATAATAAATTCAATTTCTTGTACAACATTGATCAGAAATTTAATTATCACTAAAAACTTAAGTAAATATATCACATATACATGAATATTCATTCTCTGGTGTTAAAAAGAGCTTAAATAAAAATTTATACAAAAATGCCACTCAGCATGGGATTTTGGCCATGATGTTTAGACAAGGACTTGAAATGGATGAGGAGCAGCACATAATGACAGTGAGCACCTTCTCAGCCTTCTTTCTTTCCTTCCTTTCTTTCTCTTTCTTTCTTTCTTTCTTTCTTTCTTTCTTTCTTTCTTTCTTTCTTTCTTTCTTTCTTCTTCAAGTACAAATGCTGATGACAAATGGATTAGATGCAGTCTACTTTTTCCTCAGTTGACTGATTTTTGAGAGAATTATAAACCATGAAACTAAACTGGGTAAATGTTGGAAGTTTATTACAAGCAGCACCTTGAGCCAAAAAAAAAAAAAAAAAAAAAAGTTGAGTGCTTACAAAAAGTAACTGTTCAAAATTCAATACAGATGCTTCTATTTGCTTGGACATTGCCTGTTGCATGTCTATAACCACATAATGTACACAGACCTAAATTCTGTTGTCCTGCTGAGCAGCTAATAGTCATCAGAAGATAAAACCAAAAGAAGTTATACATAATCTATACCTTTGAACACCAGACAACTCGCAATTTTTTTCTCTATTTTACTGTTCCCAATCCCTTTCTTAGAGGAAATTATCAAAAATTTTAATTTCCTAGCTGCTAGAACATTCTCTCTTTTATTCATAAGCCCTTCCTATACCTACACCATTGTTTCCTTTTTTTTTTCTGCTCTTTTACTCACCTTGGTGGGGGGGGGGGTTACATCCGTCATTACTTTAAATATCAGGAAGCAATCAATTCTAAATTCAAGTACAATCATATAATTAGTATCTTCCTACCCTGTTAACTACAACTTTGAATCTTCTATGGTTTATTTGCTAAGAGGGAATCAATTGAACTGACTTGTTTGTAGAAAGCCTTCCCTCTCGCATACAACTTTTGTTGTCTTTTGTATCTTAGTATTTGAAAAAGAATAAGGAATTCTTCAAACAAGTTTTACAAATACAGAAATGTGGGAAGTAAAAGATCAAAGAACAATAATAAGCAGTCTAACTTAATAAGTCATAGTGATCAGTGAGCTGTACATCTTTTCCATCTGAAATTTCACCTGAGAATCAGCAGTGGATGCTCTGAAAATGACAGGCTGAGAAGCAACAAGCAAAAGACGTGCCCCAAACAGTGCAAAAATAATTCCACTAGCTTGCTTGGTTTGCTGCCTAGTAATGCTTTTTGTTCTTTAGCGTCACCAAGATCTAAAAGACCAAAACATTTAAATAATGAATGGGAAAGAAATAAGGAGATTAATTTATCTCCATTCATTTCTAATTAGTAACAGCATTTGATTAAATTAGCCTATCAACATGTGTTGAAGCCAAAGCTAAGCTTCTTTTAGGACACAAGTAAAAGATAGCTGTTAGCAGTCAACCAAAAGAGGCTTTTAAGTATATATTTTTAAAATTCTTTACAGGTATACACAAATGATTAATTGACATTTACTCAGAGCCCACTTTATATAGTCCCTTTTTATACAGACTATAGTTCATTATGCGCTGAGGTATTTTAAAGTTTATTTTTTTATAACCACTTGCAAATTCATACAAATACAAAATACAAATCTAACTTACCATAACTTCCTATCACATTGGCACATATAACAGCCCCAAAGAATTTTGGAGAATACTTCTGAATTCTTGATATCACTTTTTGGCAAGCTACGCTTGGCTCGTCTCCTCCTCTCATATATTCCACAGCTTGGTAGCTAATTTAAACAGAGGTGACAGCTTAGTACCACAGAATACTCACTTCACATTAGGCTAGTTGAAGTTTGAAGTCTGAAACCACCATATTGTCACATTTGGCAATTACTACCTAAGAACGAACACAGTCAGCAATTCCTGTCACTGCCAGTATATCAAGGCAAGAAAACCTTGCTACAATGTCATCTATTCAACTCGTCCACCATTAAATTCAGATAAAGACCATTATTTTTGGTTTTGGCTGAATAACTGTCACTTAGTAATAATTGCCATAAGTGACAAAGAATAGAGGTTGTATTTGAATGAGGAAAGGAGCCACGATCATTGGAGAAATAACTCCCTATGTACAGAACATCTAGTTTCAGTACTTAATTGTACACGATGACTATACTTCCTTCTTGTCTCAACAATCAGTTTCTTTACCATAGTCTTACATGAACTACTTAAATAGGTCATAAATACTTTCCTCTGTATATTAGAGTGAGATACACTCTATTTCACAGGGTGATTACCTAAGTAAATGATCAGTAAATAACTGGTAAAAAATGTATATACAGTTTCTAAAGACTCTTATGCATACCAATTCAAGACTACATGCTACAAAAATTATTTTCTGTCCTGAATTAAGTGTCTTCCCTACAGAACTGTAAAATTCACAAAGTAAGAAGTAATACCTTGGTAGAAAGCGCAGCAATGTATCACCATCCCCAGTGGCTGCAGCGGCCCCTGCAGTATCATCAGCATAGGCCCCAGCTCCAGGTACTGGTGAATCTCCTATACGACTTCAAGAACAGACAACAGTAGACATTAAGACAGGAAACCATGTATAGACTAAATCATGTTACAACTGTTTCAAAAACGGGCTATTTCTATACAGCCATTGATTACTGTTTTAAGTAAACTCCTCATTGGAACAGAAAGAGAAGACATTTTTGTTAGTTTTTCAACTTATGTTTTCACAGACCTATGCTAATTATATGTTATTAGATTTACAATGTAAAGAAACAAAATTGATAGAAACAGATTAAAATAGTGGTTTCCAGATGCTAGGTAGTGAGTGGTTGGGGTGATGTTGGTTGAAGGAAACAAATTTTAGTTAAGACAGCAGGAATAGGGCAGCAATGTATTCTATATCAAGACACACTTAATAGCATACTGTATATGTAAAACCTGCTAAGAGTGTAGATTTTCAAAGCATGTGAAGTAATGTTTAAGTTAAACAGCTTGGTTTAACTATTTCACTTGGGTTTATATAAACACACATGCTACACTCCATAAAAACGTATTTTTGCTTACCAATTAAAAAATTCACAAAATAACTTGTCTCATCAGTCATACAAGATAACAGATTTACAATGACTTCTATTATTACCCCTTTTCCCTCATGTTCTGTACAAATCTAAGTTGATTTTCTTACCTACAACATATTCCTGCTTCCTGTATAAGGTGCCAATCTTGTATAAGTTTCTCCTTGTAATAAGCTTAATGCCTTTCTTCTACTTAAAATCTAGAACTCCACTGACTTAAGACCCCTTGAAATCTGGCTTCCTTGCAGCTTTAAGTTCCACAGTTTCCACATCTCCTGCATATGCTGGGCACGCACTTGCCTGTACACTCAGACCCCAATGTCTCTTCCAGTCAGCAGAAGCCCTAATCTGAAGTATGTGCTACATGCTTGTGTTCCTGGCTGTACATTCCCCCTTCAGCCCTGTGTATTCAGGTCTCAGATCTGAGCAGCGCTTTCCTGGCATCATTAACTACTCAGGAACAGATCACCCCAACACCCTAAACGCTGAAGCACTGGCTGCGGCATCGTTGGCCATTAGCAGACAGTAATGCGTTTCCTTCATGTTTATTACCTGTGAGGCTAGGTTTTGTTTTTCATTTTGCAGCCCCACAGCACTCAGTACATACTGCTTTACACTCCATATATATTTGAAAAATCTGTTCTATGGAAACACTAACCCATGTATTTTGAATTTTAGACCGTTTGTAGATGTACCAGCAGCAGTACGTCCCATCTTATGGATTACAACCATGCCTAGAGGTGAAAAAAAGGAAAATATAAGTACCTAGAACTTATCTATAGTCACAATCACTCATAGCTGATAACTGCTACGGTGTGACTGTGTCTCATCACATTTATAGCCACAAAGTGAGGGATTTGGGATTTTGGCAGATGATTAGGTTATTAAGTTAAAGCCTTAGTGAATGAGAGTAGTACAAGAGACCCCAGAGAACAAGCTAGTTCCTTCTACCACCTGAGGACACAGTGAGGCGTCACCTATGAGCCAGGGACTGGTGCCTCAACGGGCACTCAATTTGCCAGTGCCTACATCTTGGATTTCTCAGCCCCCATTAACTGTGAGAAACAACTTTCTGTGGCTTGTCAGTGCCCAGTTTACTGTACTGTTCATACAGTTATACCTAATCGATTAAGAAAACAATCATGGGGCTGGAGAGTTGGTTCAGTGGTTAAGAGCACTCGCCGCTCTTACAGAGGATCTGGGTTAGGTTTCCAGCACCCACATGGAGCTTAACAACCATTGGTATCTCCAATTTGAGGGAATTCAATGCCCTTTTCTGTCCTTCGTGGACCTTGAATGACACAGGTGCGCTAACATACATGCAGGCAATACACTCACACACACACAAAACTTTTTTACAAAGTAAAATTTTAGAAAGAAAATGAAATCAAATGATGTCCTCTTATTAGTTTTAGGCAGAAGAAAAGGAAAAAATTAAGAATATTGACTATCAGGGGCTGTAGAGATGGCTCAGCGATTAAGAGCACTGGCAGCTCTTGCAGAGTACCTGGGTTCGATTCCCAGCTCCCACATGGTGGTTACGAATCGTCCTTAACTCCAGTTCCAGGGGAATCCGAAGCCCTCTTCTGACCTCCGAGGCATTGCACAACACAGGTGCACTCACACACATGCAAGCAATACACTCATACACATAAAATAAAAATATTTTTAAAAAATTAAAAAAAGAATATTGAACATTATATCAATCAAAATGGTATTCGTCTAAATTTTAATGGTTTGGTTTCATAGCATCATTTGACTGATGATCTCATATCCTCATTTCAAATCAGCTAGTTCCTTTAAATACTTTTTCAAAGGCAATTCCAAATAAAATCTTTCCTATAGACTAAGAGATACTGTCAATGTTACAGCTTGGAAAAAATTATTTCAGGCCATTTTATACAGCAAATAACATAAAATAAGCAAAGGACTAATATAGAGATTTGGTAATGTACATATGATTAGTCATTAGATATTTGGTGTGTTTTATAAGTAATTTACCAAATTGTACACAAGTGCTAAGACAAAATTATATATATTTTACATGTTATACATAAGAATTTATATGTTTTTTTTTTTAATTTTTATTTTTTTGGTCTTTTTGAGACAGGGTCTCCCTGTAGCCAGAGCTGGCGAGTGCTGGGATTAAAGGTGCATGCCACCATGCCTGGCTACAATTTATTATTCCTTAAAAACTTATTTAAACAGAAAATATAAATTACATATATATACATATATTATACATTATATATATAAATTACATATATATATACATATATATAGATAGATAGATAGATAGAGAGAGAGAGAGAGAGAGAGAGAGAGACAGAGAGACAGAGACAGAGAGACAGAGAGACAAGGAGGGAGAAAGAAAGAGAGCCAAAAGAGGAACTTACTTGACAGCTAAAATAATGAAAGCTAACTTCTGCTACAGGAATTAAAATAAACTACAGAGGGTCATTAACTAAAGCAATCAAGAAAATCGCAAAAAAGGAGAATTACCAATAGTATCATGACCATGAACATCTGTTTCTCTGTACGTAAGATTACTGGGCTCTAAGACATCAGATGGTTTGTAGGGACCACAGTGTTTTGTAGGATCTGGTACTACATTCTGTAACAAGATTCAAGTTTCTGCTTAAAAAAGGTGAATTACAGCATGCAAAAGATCCCATGCAAATACAAGCAGACAAAAACTGAGTATAGAACTGTGGAAATGGGCACCAGGCCCCAATCTCAGCCAAAGAACTATTGGGGAGCTGATTACTACTGGGTAAGAAAGAGCTGATCTTCTTTAAGGGAGTGACTCTAGATAGGCTGACTAAGCCTCAGTGGATGAACTTGCTGTGAAGGTTGTCATGGGATACTAACTTGATTTGATAGGCCTTAACATAAAGGACTGAATACATGAAATCCAGTAGGGGGAGGTATGGGAGAGTACTGATGGGGGAGCATAAAAATGATTAAAATGTTGTGTATGAGATACACAAATTTCAGTAAAAAAAATAAAAAATAATAGGATGCTTTATAAATTGACAAATAATTATGAAAATCATTAATCACTAGTAAGAAACCGGAAAGAGCAACTCAGAATTAAATATTACCTGGATCTTATGAGAAAATGTATGATTCTTAAAATTACATAATGTAGATTAGACAGCTACATTACATAGATCAGGCCCCTGAATTTCATCTTTACGTGTCTAAGCCAAAGTATTTTTTTTATTAAATATTAATCCTCAAAGGAAAAGGTATACAATCTGACCTTTACATTTTAGAACACACTCCTCATCTGAAGGATTCTGAGCCTTCAAGTAAAGCTCATTTTAAACCATGTTTTATTTTAGTCTATGTTCATGAGGTGTCTAACCTTTGACACTGAGACACACATCAACTAAAAAGTTCAAACTTGAGAACTACACAATCAAGTACACACACACACACACACACACACACACACACACACACACACACACACACACACACACACACATACATACACAAAACCAAACCAAACCAAAATCAAATAATAAAAAAAAACCCTGCACAGCAATTTCATGTTTTAAGTATGATTGAGTCCATTTTGGGTTGGAGTCACAGAGTCACGCTTTATGCCTTCTTCTGTGCCATGAAGAATTTCTGCCTTGAGCGAATCTCAGGGCACCCTCATAGTTAGGACTTAAGAAACAGATGACACACTAAGATATCCCATTAAAGGAACTTATAAGCAAAATCAAAATGATTTATGCTAAAAGTCCCACTAATAGAAAAACAATCTTTCTAGTAGCACATTAGACAATTATATAAATCCTCATGTCTTATTAGATATTCTTCACACAGATAAAATCTAAGAAATATTTTAGATTGTTTGCCAACATGATAGTTTAGATTCTGTTCTAAGGAAATACAAGCACAGCAGTGTTAATGGAGGCAGCTTCACTACCCACAGTAAACCTTCAGTTTGTGAACTGCTGCAAGACACTAGGAGTTTGTTACCCTCAATGTACATGAGAGGCTGTTGGGGAGCTGTCAAGAATGGCAGAGAGTCCATCAACTTCCCAGAGAGTCAACTTCCATCACTGGTTTAAGAAGTAGCCAGGATACGAACCTGCACCCCCAACAATACCCAAACAGAAGGCCAAAGGCATCACTTGACATTTTCAAGTAATTTACTTATACAAATTGAACATGTATACATACTCTCCAGTAATTTGGCTGGCACTTCCGAGCAAGCCAATCTGAATGAATAGCTCGAGAGCTACGGGTAGATAAGTCCTCATTGGTAAACCCCATACTTTCAGCAAACTTGGTGGCTAGAGATTAGAAAGAAAAATGTAAAGTAACCAAGTGTTGTCTTCTAAGCAAAATATATGTACCAGAGGCATTCTAGATCAGCTGTCTCTTAAGTAGCATACAGAAAGACACTGGGGGACTGATATGCAAAGCTTTCAAAGGAGTTTTCAGATATAAACAGTTTTAAGGGAATCAGTTTCTGGATCTTCAACTTCTGTATGTTATTCCTAAAACTGATCTTCTTAAGACCTTTGGACTGTTTGTTATGACAATTCCTTTGCTACTGGCCTCCACCGTTTCCCTCTTTCTACCGCACAGAAGCAGCAGCCTCTCATAATATGTAACTTTCAGTGATAGAGAATTCTACTGTTCTAACTAGAATGAAAGACACCAAAGAGACAGAGTCCAAAGAATAAGTAACATCAATTTGCAGGTGGCCTGAAATTCTATTTCAAGCAAACTGAAGGTAGCCTAAAAAAGTTGCTAGATAAATATACCATTAATATAATTTCTGATTAAATGCTACTATGTGATCTTTTTTTTGAATACAGCTTAGAAACTGATATGGTCATAGCAACCTCTTTCTAGTCCTCTTGTCTCTGGTCTATAGAAATGTAATAAAGGAAGAAATCTGACAAGAATGCTGTTTCAGTGGCATCAATTCCTCATCTATTAGATGATAAAGTATTAATTAAAATTCAATCTTCAAGACAAAGGAAGTTTTAGAAGGTGTTACCTACCCAGTTAAATGCATAGGAAGTGAAACAGCTGGAATCTGAACTTAGGTCTGCTTTGATCCCTAGTTCATACTGAGTTCTATTTTTTTTATTCTTTACAATGAGTATACACAAAAAGAGTAGAAAAAATTTCAATAGTTAAAAAATACCTGACTCTCCTACTAAAAGTGTATGTGTTGTATGTTCCAGTACTTTCCGTGCCACACCGATTGCATTTTTAATTCGTCTAAGATCTCCTACGGCTCCCACAGCCATAGTGGTGCTGTAAGAAAAAAATGCAGGAAGATTTATGAAGATATTTTTCATTGGTTCTTAGGAATTGAAAATTACATTTCTCTAAACAGTAATATTTTGACACATAATCTCCATCTTAACACAAATGTAAAAACACCTGTATTAAAGAACAGAAAATCAATTTACTGTATACCCTAACAGCACTAAAAATCTCCATTTCTCATATCTTATTTTAAACATGGTTTTTAAAAGAGGCCTCCAGGCTTTGGGTCGAAGAAGCCAAAGCATTTGTAGACAGCAGGTAAATGACTATTGGGTCAGAAGCACATTTTGTGTCTTGGGATTCTCACCAGTCTATGAAGACTCCTATAGTAGTTCTGCTATGAGGGTGATTTATTTTTTTAATTTTAATTAAGGGGGAAACGTTGTGTTTGCAAAGGACAAGTACTATAGAAGCAGACGTTCTGAGGGGCATTCTTCCTTCTTGTTGGCAGAGACTACAATCCTGAATGTAACTGAACCTGACATCAAAGTGCAGAGAAAACAGGTCTTGAAGATCATTCTTACCCATCCATGATCATAGCATCCAGTGTGGTTTCCCCAAGTTCATCAGGACTTCCGCCAAAGCCTACAGTGCCGTCACACTGCTCTGCCTCACACATGGCACAGCCACTCTCAACTGCGTCCAGGACAGAACCTCCAGATAATAATGTCCGCCATGCTGTTAAATCCCAACACTGCTTATTTACGGTTATATATTTTTCAATGCCAAATACAACATGCCAAGATTTTGAGATACCTATTTTTCCACATTTATACTGTTCAGCTAAAAATTTAACAACTTAGTTTATCAAATAGTTCAAAAGTGCTACAAAGGAATCAGATTGACAAGATGAAATTATGTTAGTAGCTACTATGAAAAACTCAGGCCAGCCATGGTGGTGTGTCTTTTATCCCTGCCCTGGGGAGGCAGAGGCAGACTGATCTTTGTGAGATCCAGGCTGGCCTGGGCCACATAATGACTTCCACAGAGGTTGGTACTAGGGAGAACCTGTTTAAAAAAAAAAAAAAAAATCAAAGACTTTCGCCACAGATGAAATTGAATTTTAAAATACTAATACCTATTTCTTCTATGTAAGAAATGTGTCCTCTTCTTTAAGATCTATAATTCAAATAACTCAAAGGCAGTTAAAACTGAAACTGTTTTCAATTACAGCCTTAAAATTTCTTCATAGTTGTTATGAGACAGGATCTCATTATCTAGCCTAGGTTGACTTGAAACTTCATATATCACCCAGGCTGGTCTAAAAGTAAGCATCTTCCTATCACAGCTTCCTGAGTGCTAGGATTATAGGCATGTGCCACTCACTGGAGTACTATTCAGCACTAACAGTTTCATGGAGGTAACACATCACAAGTCCCAGTACAATATTACAATAGCAAATAAATTACAATGTAGACTTCATTTAGATTCACTTAATCTTCATAGAACTTTTGAGGTTAATACTGTATAATTACAAGGCTTATTTTAAAGAGAAGAGAAACTGCTAGAGGTGAAGCAATTTGTTTAAGGCCACATATTATTTGCTGAGCTTGCCCAGTTTTAAATCTAGCCACTGTGGCCATATTTGCAGCACCAGGGTGTTCTGTGAACATCCATGCAGTGAGTGGGATGGGTCTTGATACTATAGTTGCTTTACTGATAATGCTTTAAATTCGTTGAAAGTGGACTTTCAGAAGTTCCCACTTTCAACACAGGCAACTTATACACAGAACTGACCCCTGCACAGGATTCTGGACTTTTAATTTAATTATTATTGCGGGTATGATTTTCAGTTTGACTTCTCAACATGTAGAAGGCAGTGCCCTATATCAGATTGGGCATGAGGGTGGTCAAGGACCACTTTCTATGCTCGTATATAGTTCACAACCTACTTTAGAGTTCGCACCCTAACAGCAAACTAAAATCACCCAGGGAGATGTTTGTTTGCGTTACCAAAATAAAGCAACAATAAACAAACAAAAGTCTATGTTCCAGAAGCTAAATAAAAATCTAGGAGACAAGCAAGATTCAGGCACAAAAGTTTTTGAGAAGCTTCACATATAATTTTTATGCGTAACCAAGGCTTAAAACCTCTCCTTCTAAGTGACAAAGACAGCAGGCCGAGCAGGCATCAACGTTATATAAAAGTGAACAGGAAATGCTCAATTGTTCCCTAACCTGGAATCCTGGGAACTAGAGAGACAGACACAGACGTGAGAGCCCAGAAATAGGAGGGGATAAGGCAGACAAAAAAACACCATGTAAAAAGGCTGGGCGCCACAGACAGCGGAGTAGACATCCCTGGATGGTAAAGGCCGAAAGTCTAGAATGTTCGAGGTCAGAGATCATACATTGGTGCTGGGAGCGAGGACGCGAGTCCTGTCAAACTGATTTAAACTGCAAGAATGCGAGAAAGGATGGAGAAAAGGACAAGGGCAAAATACGCAGAGATGCAGGAAGGAGACCGGAAGCTTAGATCGCGGAAGGTTTTCTAACTTCGTCTAGGCCGGGGCAGGTCCCCCGCAAGGGCTCCCGCTGCGCAGACACCCACCCCGGCCGCCGCTCCGCACCTGCTTCGGTGGCATTCTTAAAAGGCCAAGTGTTGAGAACCAGAGGCAGACGGCTGGAGCCGACCTCCAGGGCGGGGCCCAGGAGGACCAGCACGAAAAGTTCAGGCAGATTCGACTTCCGCGCCATAACTGCGCGCCTATGCTGCCAGCGCGAAAAAGATCCCGGGTTCATAGGCGCCCAGCCGAACAGCGCGAGAAAAGTCCCGGCCAGTTCCCCCCAGGTCAACTCTCGCGGGAGTTGAGAGCGCTCTGAATTAGTACAGGGTGGGGTCGCCAGGGGTCGGGACCCAGGGTGTCTCGAGTTCTGGGGAGGTGTGGAGTGCTAGTGCTGTTTATCTGGTGCATGGTTCTATAGTAGTTCAGTGGTGTGGAGTGGTCTGGTCCTTAGGAGCTATCCAAATACGTTTTGTTAATACTAAAAGTTACTGCTTACCCCGTTTCTAAAGCTGGATTAACCTTTCTGTTTGAAAATGAATATAAACTTCTGCAACCCCGAGTTGCAGACTGGTAAAATATGACCTTAGAAACTTCAGATAATTGTGAGCACTGATTGTTTGGCTTTTACACCTTTGTAGTCTAAAATACAAATTAAAGCTGGAGAATTTGCCAGACCAAAAATGTACTCGGGAATGCCTCAAAATGTGAAACGATTAATAAATATAGGTGAAATGCAGTTGTTTTGGACCAGGTTCGGTTTGGGTCTTTTCTACACGTACTTTACATCATTTCCTCACTACAGCTTTTTGTAGGACATCCTTTGTTACAAATCCCTGAGCTGGAAGATAAGGACACTGTGGGCAAATAGAAATGTACCTTTTACATAGCCCACTGAAGTGTATGCTCCTCACCTCCAGGCAAGACGTATACCCCATTCTTTTCTGAAGGCATTTTAGTTTCTTGCCTGGCACCATTAAGTACTAAATAAATGTTTGAATAAAAAGAGGAATGGGAGCCTTACATGCATGGAACCAGCTGCTCATTTTTGAAGATTCACTTGCAGTACAGATGTGTGAGCATGGACTGTTGGGACTCTGGAATGCTTGTCCATACAGCCGAAGGAAGACACATAATTTTAAAGAGCATCTATAAATCTATCCAGACTGGTAAAATATGAACTACATGGGAGTTATGAAGCTCACAAAACCTTCAAGGTTCTTACCGCTAGGAAACTGAATCTATAATTCAAACAGCCTAAGATAACCTGATTCATCCCAAGGCAGGGAAGTGCTATTAAAAAGTTAGGTGTAATTAAAAAGAAACGACACATGATCCTTCTATAGGGTTTTGAAGGAGGACCAAACTATTTGAACGGGGGTAATGAGCATAAAGCTCATGCTAGGTGAGGTGGGAAAGACGGATGAAACAGAATGAAAAAGCTAGGAAAACTCACGTTGTCTTCTGAATTAATTTTCCTTAACAACCGAGCTTTTATTTATGAGTTCAAGGAAATTAGTCATGCCTTCAAAAATTATAAAATACAATATATGGAAAATTGTTCTCAGTTCCCACTGTTCTGTTTTAGGAAAAATAATTAGATGCAGTTAAAGAAAATGTATTTCTTCCAGCTGAAAGAGTCCAAACTCTTACTGAGGCATGATAGCAAGACCAAAATTTAAGGGAAGAGGTTGGGATTCCTCCCAACTCCATATTCTAGCTTGCTTTTCCTGTTGAGACTCAAGAAACAGCATAACTGAAAGCTATTTTGCCTAGAGAAATAATGTGTGTTTTCCTAAGGACAGCTCAAACAAGGATGTTAAAAACACCTGAACTATGATTACTTAGTAATCATGAATGTTTGCAGCCTTGTGTTTTACTGTATTAACATTTCTTTCTCATCCCTAAATCTAAATAGTAACCTCATGAAACCACCTCGCAATTTCATTTCAAAAGAAATTTAATAGTTGAAACCCTGTCTGAGAAAGAAGAAAAGAAAGTTGGAATTCTTTGAGATGAGAAAAAGAAATCAGCTCATGTATTTTTACTTAATTTTAAATAAAAAAAAAATGAGTTTTGATTAAAACTTTTCAAATTCCATCCTTTAAGGAATGTAAGTTAGCCCCACAATCATATCTACAGCATTTTAAAAGCCTGAAAGCACAGCTCTATGGAGAGAAACCTTCATCCATGATTTGGGAGTGTGTACTGTCCTTTTCCTGACTGACTCAGTCTGAATATTTAAAAAAAACTCACTATGTTTGCTCAAGTTGGCTTATCCTGAAATTCTTTTATGTGGAATAGTCAAGGACTGCTCTTTACCTGAGTGGAGGACCGTAAGGGGGAAGCTAGACTAGGTTGGGAGGAAGCACCCAGTCTGCTGGGCTGATATCTCCTCCTGCTAAGTCCACTCTTACCTCCAAAATTCTTTCTCCTTACTTGAAATCAAAATCCTTTCAGAAAAGTTCACTTCATCTGTTAGTTGGAGAAAAATAGCTAAATTATATTAAATGGAAATATTTGGGAGACAGTCTCAATGTGGCAACTCTCTGCTTTGATTTTGTATTTAAGATCATATACAATCTCAAAAGAACCTACCTTCTTTGATGAAAGCCATTTACAATACTCATTGAGCTCATTTTTTTCTAAGCTCAGAGCAATCCTGTAACTAATTGTTACAGACATTAAATTAGTTTGTATATTTGGATTCTTTCTGGATGACTATTGTTTTTAGCTGCTACATGGAGGATAGTTTAATATTTAGACCTGATTTTTCTTTGTGCCTCGATGTAACTGGTTCCTGTTGCTTGCTCTCAAGATATCTCTAAATGGACATCAGTTATAACTAGGTAGTAAATTTTATTTTATTTTATTTTATTTTTTAAAATATTTTATTTATTATTTTTATTTTATATGTATTAATGTATTGCCTGCATGTATCTGAGTGCACCCACGTCATGCCGTGGAGGTCAGAAAAGGGCTTCCAATTTCCCTGGAACTGGAGTTAAGGATGGTTCATAGCCGCCATGTGGGTGCTGGGAATCGAACCCGGGTCCTCTGCAAGAGCAGTCAGTGCTCTCAACTGCTGAGCTGTCTCTCCAGCCCCCTAGGTAGTAAATTTTAAAATTAACCCACAAGTTTTCTAACATCCATCTAAATTTTATTCATTTAAGTAATTAATTATACATAACAGAGAAATAAATGAAAGAACCTAGCTATATTTAAGGGTAGAATGCATTACTCAGTTTTAGTTGGTAAAATACCTGTGTTACTAAGGAAAACTTACTTGAAACCATAACTCAGGAGATCCTGGAAATTTGGATTTTAAAATTTAGTACAACTATTTATCAGCTGTGGTTAGCTCATTTATTTACCCTGGATCACAAGTCCCTCTTCTTTGAAATAGGGCTAAATAATAGGGCTTTCAATTTTAATGCTTTCTTATTTTATGAAGGGTTTCTTTCTTTTTTTTTTTTTTTTTTTTTTTTTTTTGACAGGGTCTCCCCATAGCCTCAGCTATTCTGGAAATTGATATGTAGACCAGGCTTGCCTTGAGCTCACAAATATTCTCCTACCTCTGGCTCCTGAGTGCTGGAATTAAAGGCATGTGCCACACCTGGCATTTTATGAAGTTTTATGAATGAGGTAAGAAATAATAGAAAATATTAGAATAATAATTGAACTATATACTGTTGCATTAATTGACATTTATCAAATATCCATCAACTGGTGTCTAGATGGAGCAATGTATGCAGAATATAGACATTCCCACAAAGAGTTTGCTGTATATCTAGAATGCATTTTAAAGTAAGCACATAAATTTTTGACTGCATTAAATTGGAGTTCAAAACGTTTTCACTCTTTGTCTAAACGTTAGTATAAATGTTTATGAAGGTGGTACATGACAGAGCTGAGAGATTTCTGGAATCATGTGCACAGCATTCTTAAGTCTTTTCAAGGAGAAATTCTCCAATGGAATCTTAAAAGATGTTGCATATACAGCCATTGTGTGTGTGTGTGCGTGTGTGTGTGTGTGTGTGTGTGTGTGTGTGTGTGTTGCAGGTTGAGGGGGAGTAGTTGTGGGCAGCTGCAGGTGCCCCTCCTTTTCTTCATGGCTTTCAATCTATCTGTCTCAAAAGGATGAAGAGTTGAGTCTCTCTTGATAGCATTTGAAGCTGTGGTTCCACAGAGGATTTAATGCTGCAGTTCGCAGGGAGTCTAGGTATTTCAAATCTGAGGCTTAAAACACTAAGCCATCCCCTCCGGCTTTTGCACTGATGCTGTGAAATCCATTTTAGAAACATGCCCATGTTTTGCTACTTGTTCAAAGCTGTAAGCGTGACTTGGCATTGAAATAATAATTCCTTTTCCAAAACTCCCAACTGCACTATTACCTGGGTTATCTAAATACAGGCTATTTATTTGATTGACATTTGCTCTTGTCAGTTTCAGGAGCTATAAGTAATGATTTTGCTGGTGTCAAAGCATTGTGATAACTGTGTTTCTAATTTAAACCTATTTTTACTTTAATCCAGGAACACTTGATGTTACTTCCTGATTGTACCTTCCGAATATAATTAGAATCATTATACAGAAGTGTTCTTTTATTATTCTCTGAGAAATGAGAGTGTTTTTCTTTTCTGAGATAATATTTCTGGGTCATGCCCTCCCAAACCATTTGTCAAATCACTAGCTGATTCAAATCACAAACTTCCTTTTGACTTTTTTAACTTTTTAAAGTCATCCTAGTGATTTATAAAAACTGAGATACTGGAATATTATGTAGCCCTTTATGTGTTTTTGTTGTTGTTGTTTTTGTTTTTGTTTTCTCAAAGTATGATATGTGAAACATATTTTCAATTTGTAATCCTAATGCTAAGGCTATTGATATAATAAATAACAAAGATATAATCATTTTGCATAGTAGACTCTGCCTCATAAGGATTATGTGTGATGTCAGGATGCTTTCATAAAGGTGATCATTACTAAAGGACTAGGGCAAAATAAAAAAAACTTTGCATCATCTTCCTCCCATTTTAAAAATCACTTTGACATTTTAATATCATGAATGATTTTTAATAAAGGAAGCCAGCAATAAAAGCAAAATTCCAAAATAGCAATATTTTATTTATTAAAATTACATCCTGTGGTTGGCCATGATTTCAGTTGGAGAGTATTCTAACAAGGAACACATGTATCTTATATTTAACTATGTGGGTAGTTTTTTTTAAATT